CTGAGGGCAGAGGCCACGTGGGATGAAACAGAGTTTGATTTGTGTAATCCAACCTTGTCAGATGCTACAGCCAGCTCTTTAAAAAAAAAAAGAAGAAGAAGAAGAAAAAAAGTCTTTTACTAGTTGGGCCTCTCCTCGGGCAAAAGGCTGATACCATCACATGGAGTACATCTTTAGACCTGGCCAGACATCAGTTGTTCCTGCCCTCAGACAAGTGGGTTATCTTGCAAGGCTGACTTTTCTGTAGTCGGTCCACTGTGCACTTGCTGAGTACCTACTGTGTGCCCCGGCGTGCTCCCCATGACACAGGATGCGTGGTTGTGCGTTCAGTTGCTCTGCCTTATGTACAGCGGGGGTGACTCGAACCCTTGTCAGCTGGCTGACCACAGCAAGAAAGTGGAATGGAGAGGGGCGCCTGGGTGGCTCAGTCGTTGAGCGTCTGCCTTCGGCTCAGGTCATGATTCCACGGTCATGGGATCGAGCCCCGCATCGGGCTCCCTGCTCGGCGGGAAGCCTGCTTCTCCCTCTCCCACTCCCCCTGCTTGTGTTCCCTCTCTCTCTGTGTCTCTCTCTGTCAAATAAATAAATAAAATCTTTAAAAAAAAAAAAAAGAAAAGAAAAGAAAGTGGAATGGAGAAAGAAGAGCCCTAGGTCTCTAATGCCTGTCTGTGCTCTCTTAACTGAAGAGGATATTCTTATCCACCATGTCAGATCCCATTCTCTTGGGGCATTCACCTCTATTTTTTCCCCCTATGCTTTGGTCCTACCCTCTAAACTCTCAATTTGAGGCCTTCCGGTGTAAGCTTCAATTCCCAGCAGTTTCCCATCCCCTGTCCCTCAATCCCTTATCCCTAAGGGCACCCTGACTGTGCCTTCTTAGAACCCCACTTTTTGCAGGTTCCCAGACTTAGAAGGGTGCTCAAGCTGAGTCTGGGAGAGCTGGGCCCTGCTCTGGGGATTCGCACTCACTGAGCTCAGGTTCTGTGCTCTGTGCTGTGCCAAGTGCCTGAATGTCAGAGGCCAAGCATACTCTTTCCTGCTTCCCCCTTCCTTCTCCCCTGCTTCTCCACACCTTCTGCTGGAAGGATCCATGTTCTCTGGCGTTTGGGTGTCTTTGTGTACCTCATCCTGTTCAGTGAATGTTGATTTCCTTCCTCCTTACTGTTTCTCTCACCAGCCTCCCTTCATGTCCTTTTTCTTTCCTTTCTGGTCAGGCCCTTTTGTTTAATTTTTTTTTTAAATATTGTTTTTATTGTTGTTCCTCATAATCAGGGCATTCTTTGATAGTTTTGGTGTGAGGCAGCTTGGTTGAGGAAGAAGGTCTTTTGGGAGCTGACCTGTGGCAAGAGAAGGCTAAGTGGAATTTGTGTGGCATCTGCTTGTGCCCAGAGCAGGGGCTACCGAGGCTGAGGACCGGTTACCAGGCCCTGCTCTTGCTGGTCTTGCTGCTCTCATGGCTGCCACGCAGCCAGCTTAACTCCGTACAAGGCAGCCTGGCCTCCAGCCTCACCCAGACCCTCCAATAGGCTGGCTGGATTCAGCTGTTGGAGCTCGGAGTTGTAATCCTGAAGGTAATTGTGGATGACAAACTTCACATCGTAAACCTTAGGGTCGGAAAACTCCTCCGTGGTTTCCAGATGCCTGTCTGTGGCCTGGCTGCCTCAGAACCACCTGGGCAGGATTTACCTCTGGCTTGGCCAAGTCATTATTCTGATGGGAAGAGATTGAAAGAGACTGAAAAAAAAAATCCAATCATGAAGTGTTTTCTTCCAGGCTATAGGATCACAAATGATTTTATTTTCTTCTCTCTCATGTCTTGTGTTTTCCAATTTTTCTACAGTTAACATGTATTACTTTGATGACTAAAATATACAATAAATGTTACCTGTGATTTAAAAAATGTCACCTGGGGTGCCTGGCTGGCTCAGTCGGTGGGGCATTTGGCTCTTGACCTCCAGGTTGTGAGTTCGAGCCCCGTGTTAGGTGTAGAGATTACTTTAAAAAAATAAAATCTTAAAAATAAATAAATAAATAAATAAAATTTAAAAATGTCACCCAGAGAGTTTGTTCAACGTACAAATTCCTGGACTGCTTCCCTGGAGATTCTGACCCAGTTGGTCTAGGTGGAGCCCTGGGACTCTGTATTTATAACAGCACGTCAGCGGATTCTGTGACACAGTCAGGTTTGGGAACCACTGATCTCATACCATGCCTGCATTTCTCTTATAAGGGAAGTGAGGACTCACAGACAGGCTGCTGGGAAGCCGCGGCCGACAGCCAGGTCCTCTGATTCCTGGCCCAGGGAGACTTCCTTGCCGATCCATGTACCCAGAAGCCTGTCACAGGCAGAGACGTGGAACTTGGGTCCTTCGCGACGGTGGGCCTGTGGGCACTGCCTCCTGCACCTAGGCCTGCCTGTGTTTCCCAACAAGACCTCAGCCTTCCACTCTGACAGCACTCTCTGGCCCGTAGCTGCTTCTGGGTCCCCCAACACGCCCAAATGATGGGAGTGAGGGTGCTGCGTTGCCTCATCCCCAGACACCTCAGGGCCCAGGAAGTAACCCAAACAGCAGGCAGCCTCCGTTAGGGGCATTTGGGGAAAAACTGAGGCATACAGAAATGGGATTGGCCCAGGCCCCAAATCATAGAATTGTGATCTCCTTTTCTTAGCCATTGAACTATTTTGATATGATTTAGAGAAGGGGAGGAGAGAGGGTCTGCTTTGGCATAAAGGTATATGGTGGCGCTCAGAGAATGATGATAATGGGTAAGGACATTGCTCTAGGGCCAGGTGGTCTGGAATTCAGTCCAGTCCCTGCCACTTAGTAGCCATGTGGCCAAGTTATCAAACTCTTTCAATGTTCTCATCTGTAAAATGGGGATGATGATATATAACAATCTCATAGGGTTGTCGAGAAGGGCCAAAAGAGTTTAATGTGTCTCCAAGTCACCTGGGGATCTTGTTAAAAATGCATATTCGGATTCAGTAGATCTGTATTTCTAGTAAGCTCCCAGAGGATGCTGACGCTGCTGGTCCACGGACCCCACTTTGAGAAGCAAGGATGTAGAACACTCAGAACAGAGCCTGGCACACTCAGTGTTACTATTCTTGTCATGACTGTGGTTGTTATTATTACTTGGCCTTTTCAAACAGGCACCTGAGGAGACTTGGAATTCCAGCAGACTGGCCTCTCCAGGGACCAGTCTTTTCCTGGATTTTCCTCCCGTTCCGCCACATGACCTTTGCACCTGTCCTGGGCAGCAGCTGGGGGGCGGGAAGCAGGAGGAGGGGTGCCCAGCCCAGCGGCTGCAGGCAGGCCCGAGCCTTCAGGTTTTGCAGCTGAGTCCGTTTTCACGCTGCTTTACTCTAACCAGATTTTGTTAAGCCGGCTGTGTTTCCTCTTTTTACCCATCTTTGTTTACAAAACACAAGGCAGCCATCAGTCTCCTGCGTGGTCTGCCAGGACTCCTCTGTGGCACACCCCGATTTCCCCTCCTCGCAGTAGCCGGGACTCCAGCTTTCTGGGTGGTTTTCCAGCCTCCCTTCCGCAGGGGCAAGGAGCACGCTGTTGCCCCAGATGGAGGGGGGGCGTTCTGTTCACCTGCCTCGGCAAGGCCCTGAGGTCAGCCTCAGTCCGCGGGTCACCTCTCTTCCCTTAGTGGCCCAAGGTGGCGGGGAGGGGAGGTGCCACAGAACCTGCACGGTCGCCTGGGGCAAAGTCCGGGAGGCCAGGGCCAGCTGCTCCCACCAAGCTCCGAGGGTGCGGGAGACCTAGGCCCACTTTCCATTCTGCCCCTGACTTAGCCTGTCCCCTTCATCGGAGATGTAGGGGCCGGGGCAGTGGGGTTAAAGACAGCCCAAGAAGGGCCCCGGCTCTGCTGTCAGTTCACACGGATGCACTCACTGTAGGGCCACTGCCGTGATCCTGGTCCAGCCCATGCTGGCTTCTTCCTGCACGCTGGTTTTTTATTCCCCTATCCATGGAGGACCCCGTGGAGAGGGCCCCAATCCAGTCCTCCTGCCCTGGCAGACAAAGAGAGAACAAAGACCGCCTCTTCCAGCACCCCAGTCCCCTCGGGGGGCCTCCGCTGGCCCCTGGGAAAGGGTACCTGTGTGGGCGGGGCACCAGCCCCAGTCCTGGGAGCCAGTGACCCCTGACCTTTGCCCCCAGCGTCCCTGCCTGACAGTAGGACCTGGGATAACCTCCAGAGAGTAGTGTGCATTCTTTGTTTTTGTTTTGTTTTCAAGTATGTTCTTGCTTAACGTTTAATTGGCTCCAGTCAGTAGGAAAGCGCTCCAAGAGGGATTATTTATGGCTTACTGTCAAGAGCAGCTATAAAAAGGGCAGCACTGAGCTGGAGATGCTGGGAAGGGAGAGAGGGCGGGTGCACAAGTGTGTGTGTGTGTCTGTGTCTGTGTGTGTGCGTGTTTGCACTGGATGAAATCAGATTTTTGCTGCCTCAGCAGTGTGGTTTAAATTGAAGATTAACCCTTTGACCTTCACAGTGTCAAATCACTTGCAGATGGAGGCTCCCCCCCTTTCCCCCTTGTTCTCTGTGTTACTTTGGAGTTGGGGGAGCGAGGGGGGCACTTCTCTTTCTTTCTGAAGAAAGTTTGTTGTTCATGCAGCTGAGGTTTGAGGGGCTCAGGAGCCAATCTGATTAAAAGCAGCACTTGGCTAAACTCTGGAAAATCCTGCAAGCAGGGGAAAAAGTTTAATCCTCTTGTGCACAGTGCATAAAGAGCCTGGACTTTTCTTTTTAATGTTAAAACTGCAATTGTTTTTTGGAGAACTCAACTATCTCCCCCTCATCGCCACTCTTCTCATCTCCCCCCCCAACTCCTCCCTCCTCTCCTCAGTTTGCTGTCCTGATGGGATTAAAGTGCTGTCCCCAGACTCGTTTATCTGAACTTTTATTGGGAATGATAAGGACCCGGGAGTCGTTGAGGCTACAGGCTATGTTTAGAAATTACATTGATTTTTTTTTTTCCTTTCTAGCACCAGCAAAACCAAAATCGAATGTGGTGGCAGATCCTCCTCTTCCTACACAACCTCGCTTTGAATGCTGATGAGAACAGGAATGGGGCAGGTCCCAGGTGAGGCTGGGCTGCCCTCTTTGTATGGGGCACCCACCGCAGGAAGGACATCGGCGAGGACTGACACTGTGTCTTGTGAAGTTTGTTCATTGCTGTTTTGCGTTTGCATTTTCCAAGTTTCTCTCTGTGTACATAAGACATACCCCAAGCGGGGCCTCTTTCCCTGTTCAGGACCTCGACCAGGAATGAGGGCCTTTGTCAAACACTGTTGAAGTTGAGGCTGATAGGTCTGTGATGTGGGACCTCCCAAGGGCTCTGACAAGTCTTCAGTGAGCTGTTGTTGAAGATGACCAGGTAGTGATGTTCTCCAGCGAGTGGACTGTAGTTTTCCCACAGGAGCTTGGTTAAGAACTAGGAGACTGGATTAGACTCCTGGTCCCGCCAGCGCTCTCTTGGCCTTCAACCGTGGTCGGGCCCGAGATCTGCCAGTCACACTGCTTTCATCCCCCAGGGCCTCGGCCAGGGGCTTTCCAGCTGAGCATGGCAACTTCCACTAAGGCCAGTCAGCCAGCTCCATATCTGGGTTCTCCTTTGGCCCAGCCAGTGCCTGCCCCAAGGGCTCAGGGATTCTCGCCCAGCTCCTGTCATCTCCAGCAGACCTCAGGGAGGGTTGGGTTTCTACAAGGACCCCTCAAACGTGCCGCAAAATGAACCAAACTTCTGGGTAGGCCTCGAGTCTTACTTGCTCCCACTCGGAGGCCCCAGGATTGGTCCCGAGGTGCAGGACCACTGTCACCTCTGGGTGCCTGGGACTGGCCTGGGTGTCCACCACAGATGAGCCAAATAGCCAAGGAACGGGCCATAGCCAGCAGCTTGTGCCTTCGTCAGCTCTTCTTTGAAAAGACCCAGCCAACAGACTGCTTTCCTCCCCCAATATCAGCACTCTGGGGCACACATGGGGCAGGATTACCGTGGGGCTGGGAAATGTGGTGGCCATCCCACCTGTGAGAGTCAGCCCGAGAGGAACCCAGACCCCTTGGTTTCCTTGGAAACAACATACCTCCTCCCGCTTATCCCCATTCCTTTTTCACACCTAGTGGGATACAGGAAGAAGCCAGCGCCATGGCTTTGTCAGCTGAACCGTGTCTTTTGGAGTAACAGACAATGATTAGAGCGTGCAACCGTCAAAGCTGGGTACACATTTCCTGGCTTCCTTCAGCTTCCAGCTAGGCCAGAAGGGCGTGCTCGGGAGCTCAGCAGGCTCGCAGCTGCCTCTGAACTTCCCTTCTCTCCCTGCTGTGGCACTAATGGAGAGAATTTAAGGCAGCCAGGCTGGCAGCTCTGAAAGCAGATGCGGGGAATCTGAAAAGACACAGGGAATCTGCTAACCAGATACATAGAAATTAAATTATAATTTTTGCCTATGTAAGAAAAGATAACATTGGTGCTAACATGAAGCAAGGCCCAAAGAAAAGGTGGCTTCCCTGGGCAGAGAAGACCTCAGGGCTACCCAAGGAAATTGGAGGAGTCCAAGTAGACTCTCAAATCTAAACAAGCCCAAGCTCCTCCAGTTCTACAGACAGGAGGTCTTCAGGAAGCATTAATCTACTGGATGTACAGTTGGGCAGGTTGTTCACTGCACAAGGGCACCTGCCGAAGAAGGTAATGGAAGTCAAATCCAGCTCATGCTATGCCCACTAGGCTATATGCCCTAATTTGGGGCTACGTCTGCTCAGAGGAAGGGGTGCCTTTCCTAATTTGCATGAAGGTGCCATATGGGCTCAGTGGCCCCAAGGTGAAAGACCTCAAACTGTACATTAGCCTTTGTTTTGTTCTGCTTGGATGTTCTGGAGGTATTACCTCTTCTTGGCTAGAATTGTATTCTCAGGGTGTGTACCATGGTTTGTCTGCTAAGAAGATGGGTTCCTGCTTACAAGGAGGAGCCCAGGGAACAGGTGAAGACCAGCTCCGGGACACGCTGACCCTTGTGAAATGCAGCCTTCTTTGCGTGTCTCCACACCATTTTAGGACGTGCATTGGACATGTGCCATTTTCCCCTCTCCTGGACCAAGGCAGTGACAGGCAGGTGGTGTATGCTTGAGTGGCACACAAGAAAACCAGGATTATTTCTGCCAGCCACTTTGAACCCCTCTTAGCGGACTTCTGAGTGAGCTGAGTGAGAGAACAAATAAATGGTCCAGGGCCTCAACACTGAGGCAAAGCCATCAGCTTCAGAAATCTTGCCAGGCCCAGGCAGGATGTCCTGTGGCCTGCCCCAAGAACTGAGCCCAGAGTTTGACAAGCCCACCTGAACACTGAGCCTGGGCCCAGATGGAGGGTGGTCTGACTGCACTGTCTCCATCTTATGGGAAGCCAGGAACTAACTCACTATCCTAAGCCAGCTGGGGCACAGTTTAAAACCCCCTCCTTCTCCCTTTTCCCCAAAACACCCAGGAGGTAAATAGCTCCTGGAAGAAGAGAGGTTCCTTCTGGCTGGCTGGTTTTAATTGGCCTAGTGATCTAGACTGGCCCCTGCCCCCTCTGTCTGGTGAGTTGGTCTGAACATTCCTCAAGTCCAGCCTCAGGAGACACATCCCTCTCCCTGGGCCCCCATCCCCCATCCCCCACCCCCGGGAGCTTGGCTGTCTCTAGTTAGGGGGTGGAGAATCAGATTTGGAGGGAGGGAGACTCTGACCTGGCTCCTGACCTGTAACCAGCTGAAGACTTGTGGAGTTTTTGTGGTTTGCTGAGGGTGAGGGGTGGGAGAAGGGCTGGAAACCTCCCTCTTATTATAGAAAAGCCCCAGAGGGAGGAAGCCTGGTAGTCAGGGTCAAAAGAGCCCTTCAGTTCAGAACCCTAGAGTTTCTGGAAGCTGGTAGACAGAACTAGGGAGAGAACCCCACTCAGGCCAGACAGCTGACTCCCTCAGTGAGTCGAAGGACCCGGCGTGGCCTCCCTGCCTTTGCCTGCTTCAAAGTTTGGGCTGCTGGAGGGCTGTCCCCATGGCCTTTTCTTGCTCAGTGCAAGGGAGAGAAAGATCACCTCCCAGTGACCTCCCCAAGCCCTGAGGGGTGTGGGTCCATGTCTAGAGCTTATGTGGCAGGCATGCTCCAAACAGTCAGAGGGGCCCAGCTGACTTGTCTCACTGTCCCCAGTGGCCCAGCCTCATCCATGGGGTGGCTCCAGCCTGGGCATAGAAGGGGGGGAGCAGTGTTGTTTGGGATGGTCCAGCCACGGCCTCCAGTGGGGGCTGGGGAGCCACTGCGCCTGCCCCGGTCAGTAAGTAGCCCACTGAGAGCTGGCAAGCTTGTGCCATTTGGTGGACTTGATGAAGAGGGGGTATGGAGAGTGGAGAGCAGCAAAAACAAAAAGACTTCTGCCTCCAGGGCTCTGCGGGGCTTCTGGGAATCAACGTTCAGCCTGGGCTGCAGGAAGCTGCAGGGCCTTCCGGGTGCAGGCAAATCCTTGGTGGGACGCTGGACCTTGGCTGGGCTTGGTCCAGGAAAGGGTTAACTTACCTGCCCTCGAAGCCTCCTGGGCACACTGTGGGCAGGGGCACCTCGGCTGGTGGGGACTTGGAGCTTTGAGGGAATAACACAGAAAGCCGAGCTCTTCCAAAGATGCACCAGCCTTGCAGGCCACGGGAGCTGGGAGCCGGCACCCGGGTCTGCCCTGCCCCCTTCTCTGCATGGGTGGCCAGCACCTCTCCCTGTTCTGTGAGCATCGCCCAGTGGGCCGCCCCATCCCTGGGTCCACAGGGGCTGTCAGGGGGAGACCCAGTGAGAATGTAGCATTTTGTTTAGCCCAGGTTAGCTGTCCTGGGTTCTAGGCACTCTGCCTCTGGGAGAGAGACAGGGAAAGAGAGGGAGGGAAATGGGGACCCATTGTTTTTTAACCTGTACAGAATACTTGGCTTTCTGTTCTTCACATGCATATGTGTGTGTGTATATTCTCCCCCATCAATTGGTACAATTTTTAATAAAACCATTTAAAGCAAAGCCGGTCTTTCTTTTTCAAGGTGTGATAAAACTCCAAGGGGATCCCTTAGGGAATTAGAGACTCCTGACTTGTTTCTGGCTGCTGTCCTGAGTTAGCCCCAGGCTCCCTGCTTTTATCAGGATTTCCTTTCCTCTCTGGGAGTGGAGAGGAGCCCTGCTGACCTCACAACAGCACAGGAGAGGCCCCATGAGGTGGAAAGATCCGGGCTTTGGATCCAGACCTGGATTTGGATCCGGTTCCAGCTTCCACCAGCTGAACGATCTTAGGCAAATTGTGTCCCCTCTCTGAGACCTCCGCTCTTCCGTGAGTAGGTCAGCGACACCTGTCTGCAGAATAGAGGGGAAGGGCGGAGGCCCTCCGCAGGGGCAGCCTCGGGGACCGAAAATGCCTGGCAGCCCCTCCACCGCCCACCCCCCACTCCCGTGTCTGGCTGGGCTTTGGCTTCCTTTTATCAAGGTAGCATCTCAGGAGGGAGGTATGCTAGTTGGAGGGGGACTTCTGGTTTGCCTTTCTTTGTGGATTAACAAGGTGTCTGACTCAAAAGGGTAATTTAAAGCCCTTGATGGAATTCTGAAAATCCTCAGAAAAAAACCACTTCTGGTCCTATGAGCAGTGAGCTGCGGGCCAAAGGGCCAGCTCGCCTTATCCACCTTATCTGTGCGGGGTCTCCGTGATTTAGGAGGCCTTCAGCTCTCCGAGGGCCAGCTTTGGGCTCCAGTTCCTACCCTCACAGACAATGGAAGCTTTCATGTCAATTGTCGTGCCTTGCCTCTTCATTTTTTAAAAATATTTTATTGATTTCATTTATTTGAGAGAGAGAGCATGAGTTGGGGGGTGGCAGAGGGGGAGGGAGAAGCAGGCTCCCCACAGAGCAGGGAACGATCCCAGGACCCTGCGGTCATGACCTGAGTAGAGGGCAGAGGCTTAACCTACTGAGCCACGCAGGTGCCCCTTACCTCTTCATCTTATGGATGAGTAAACTGAGGCCCAGAAAGGGGATGTAGGGGCGCCTGGGTGGCTCAGTCGGCTGAGCGACTGCCTTCGGCTCAGGTCATGATCCCAGGGTCCTGGGATCGAGTCCCACATCGGGCTCCCTGCTCTGCGGGGAGCCTGCTTCTCCCTCTCCCACTCCCCCTGCTTGTGTTCCCTCTCTCGCTGTGTCTCTCTCTGTCAAATAAATAAATAAAATCTTAAAAAAAAAAAAAAAAAAAGAAAGGGGATGTAATTTTCTATATGGGCTTTTTAAATAGCTGAGTCAGTCTGAGGGGGCTGACCCCATCCACCCAGGTTTCCATTTGGAAATTGCAGTGCTCTTGCCCAGATCTGCAGGGAAGCCAAAACTTGTCTATTTTTAATGCCAAATAACTGCCTCTTGTCCTGTAAAACATGGCACTTCTGACCACTCTATATTTGGACAGAGAGATTTATTTTTACTGGAGTGTGGTAGAAGCGGGGCCTGGTGCCACATCCGGATGTTCTTGTACATTGCACGCGCTGGGTTGTAGTCGAGCCCATTAAGCAGCTCCTGTGAGGTACACAGGGAATTAGTAGGTGATTGGTGAGAGGAATGTCTTTCAAGTCATCCGCGGCTACTTAGGGTAAGGCTGCACTCAGTTGCCCAGGCTAGAACCCTCAGAGCTCACCCTGTCCCACCTTCTCCCTCCCTCTCTCTCTCTGATCCCTCCAGAGGAAGTCCCTTGAGATGGTAAAGGCACAGCTGCCTAAGTTTGAACCCAGGCTCTGCGGCTTACCAGCTAAGTGGCATTGGGTAGGTCATAGAGTCTCCCTTTGCCTCAGTTTGCTCATCTGTAAAAGGAAAACAGTACCTACCTCATCAGGTTGCTGTGAGCATTAAATGTGTGAATACATATAGGGGGCTTACAGTAGTGCTTGGTACATGTTAGGTTTTCCATAAATGTTAGCTGTGAGTATTATTAATAATATTATTGCTTTTATTATTATCATCTGTAGGCAGCTGATCCATAAGCTCTGAGCATTCTTACTCAGAAGGGTCTCTCTCTCTTTTTTTAAAGATTTCATTTGAGAGAGAGAGAGCATGAGAGAACACAAGCAGTGGAGAGGGAGAAGCAGGATGCCCACCGAGCAGGGAGCCCGATGTGAGGCTCGATCCCAGGACCCTGAGATCATGAGCTGAGCCAAAGGCAGACGCTCAACCGACTGAGCCACCCAGGTGCCCCTCAGAAAGGTCTCCTGCACCAATCCTCTTACTATCTCTGCCACATTGTCTTAATATACCTCTTTTTGCCTGGATAACTGCAGAGTCCCCTAACTGGTCTCTTTGCCAACCCTGGCCCTCCCACAGCACATCCTCCGTCGCCAGGCGAACTTTCTCAAAGACAGACCCAATCCAATCACTCCCCCCCTGGAAAAGTTGCCCTAGTGGATCACGTCCACATTCCTTATCCTGTCTCTCCAGCTACTCCCTTGTATTAGTATTCTGTATTTGTCTTCTTATATTCGCGTTCTGCACAACAAATTATCCCAACATTTAGCAGCTTAACACCACTAACGTTTATTATTTCACAGCTTCTGTGGGTCAGGGCTTCAACACCCAAGGTGGCAGCTTTTGTTGAGAGGCTAATAGTATGGTGGGGATTCCTGGATCCTGGAGCAGCCCTTTGATTTACATGAAGTCAACTATACAAGCTCAGCAACGGGCGTGGGGAGGGAATGGGAAATGCGTGTAGGGATACATTGCAGCAGATGAGACTCCTGCCCTCCACTCAGCGAATGCGTGCCTGGACTGAGTGTGATGTGGGAACACGCATGACAGCCCTTCCCGGGCCTCATATCACACCAGCATCTTATCACACTCAGAGATAAATTTTTTGGGCCGGGATAGCCCTAAATGTCAGGGGTTTCCTCCACTGCTCAACGGAAGCAACAGAACTCTCTTCCAACCTGAAGGAGAAGCTGGCTGTCTGGAATTTCCTGAGAAGTGATGGGTCTGCTTGTTACACTTCAGGGGCATCGGAATGGATTTCCAAGGGCATTTTCTACTTCGCGTGATTTTTGCCTTACAGGAGGTCTTAGAGCCAGTTCCTGTGAAAAATGAGACTCTAAAAATAAGATATAAAAAATAATAAAAATTAAAATAAAAAAAGAGGGGGCCTTGGGTGGCTCAGTTGGTTAAGCGTCTGCCTTTGGCTCAGGTTATGATCTCAGGGTCCTGGGATCGAGGCCTGCGTCCGGCTCCTTTCTCAGCGGGGAGCCTGCTTCTCCCTCTTCCTCTACCCCTCCCCCTGCTTGTGCTGTCTCTCTCTCTCTCTCTCTCAAATAAATAAATAAAATCTTTAAAATAAATAAAAATAAAGATAGAAAATGAGACTCAATCTGACCACTCAACCCAGCTACCCTGCCCTTAATCCCCTACTTCCCGGAGGGGAAGTTTTTGCCCTCCTGAATGGGCAGACTCAATGTGGAATTGGAATTGGGATTGCCCTGAAGAGGGGGAGGAGGGTAAGGGATGGAAGTGGTGTCCTATCCTGCTTTTGCTGCCGTTCAAAGGTCTCTGGCTCCATGCTGCTCTGCAGGTGGGTCTGTCACTAGCATTTGAACTCATGTCAAGCCCTGCTCTCGAGAGAAGACAAGATCCACTGAGTGGGTGCATGGTACTGCCTGAGCCCCTCACCATGAGTGACACATCACGTCAAGCCCATGCACAGCTTCAAAAGAAACAGGCCGTGTGATCCCTGCCCTCAAAATTAGGTCGCAAAAGAAATCCAGTTGCTATGAAGCAGGGGAAACCCTACCTGACTAGGATTAAGGAGGCTAGGTTTTTAAGCAGACTCTGTCCCTAACTGCCTCAGTGACTTTGGGCAGGGACCTGACTTCCCCTCTCTGGTCCTTGGTGTTCTTCCTCATCTATAAATTGGGGTAGGACCAGACTGCATACCTATGACCCACCCAGCATTTTACTCAACAGTCTTTGCTGGGTCTTGAACTCTTGAGATTCTGCTGGAAACTATCTAGGAATCTTCTCTTTGGGAGGTGGCACAGACTATAGAGACTCAAGAATCTAAGGTTTCAGGAAATTTACTGAGTCTCTTCATCTGTCACTTGGTCCCCAGGTTTAAGGACTCTAGTTTTGTTGCAAAGGAAAATAAAAAGAATGAGAACGACAAAAACTTAGAAACCAAGGCAGGCCCTTTCCTCATTCTGTCACCGACCTTGCTTATACCACAAGAAGTCACCTTTCCCTCCTGCACCGTTCATCCTCGCCTCCGCCTTGAAGGAGGCTGGCGCAGTTCCTGGAGGCGCTTGTGTTTCTTGTGCTGCATTCTTGATTCCAGGGATGCACCCTTCTCCATTGTCAGCACACCCGGAGACTAAAGCTGTGATCACGGTCTGGCCTTCTGGAGGCCACCACCCCAGCCCAGACGGGGTATCTGTGGTCGTCTTTGCAACCCTTCTAGCTTATCCAGGTTGAAGCAGGGGCGCTGAGCCTGGTGCCTTTCTATAAACTCCGGGAGGAAAGGGGCTTCTGGCTCCGATGTTCGTGCTGAATGAGCCGGTAGGAAGCAATCAGACGTTGAAGGTGAAGGGGAACATGGCCCGTGGCTGTCGGAGACCCAGAAGCTGTCAAGGGCAAAGGCCTGGGAGCTCTGTGCACCCCAGATAAAAGGTTCTTGTTTTTCACCTGAGTGAGTCCAGGGTTCTGCTCAGTGATCCTGTCTTTGAAGTGGAGAGGGTTCAGTGCCTGGTGGCAACCTCATTTCTAACACATCGTTACATTTGCCAAGTGCCCTGGAGCACGGGGTACAACTTCATAGATACACAGGCTCAAGTGGGCTGGGTGCTGCTTTAAACAGTGACCACAGAAAAACCCATGAGCCCCCAAGTCCGGAAGATCGAGCCTTGGGTCCCTGAGCCCCTTGCCTGAGCCCTAGGGCTTGGTACCGCCGCACTATGCTGCTCTTTATTGCCGGTCCGTGCGCATAACTTCAGTGATCCCTCCTTGAAACGTAGAGAAGAGCTGGTGACATCTTATTGGCTGGAGAAACTGAAATCCACCTAGAAGACTGGATTTCATACCCTTAGCACCACCTCTCACCACTGGCAATCATCACTTACCGTTTTCTTTTTTCTTTCTTTTTTTTTTTTTTTAAGATTTTATTTATTTATTTATTTGACAGAGAGAGACACAGCGAGAGAGGGAACACAAGCAGGGGGAGTGGGAGAGGGAGAAGCAGGCTTCCTGCCGAGCAGGGAGCCCGACGCGGGGCTCGATCCCAGGACCTGAGCCGAAGGCAGACGCCTGATGACTGAGCCACCCAGGCGCCCCTATCCATTTTCTTGACCACCAATGGGCAATGGTATGTGAATGACTGTGTGCATGTCTACATAGACCACAGGCTTCTTCCTGGTGGCAGGAACTGGTCTGTCTCATTGCCCACTAGATCCTCACTATCCAGTAAATAACTTGACATTTGCGAGATGCCCAGAAATCTTTGTAGAAGGAAGGAGTGCAGAATAACAGAGGAATGAGGTGAGTATCGAGGGATGTTCCTCAAGATAGGCTATCCACCCCCATATTCATTTCTGAACTCTTTCTGAGGAGTCCCAGTGGGCCCAGGCTTTTGAGTGGCTAAATCAACCTTGTTTCCTTTTTCTCCCCCAGCCGAAGTCTGGAAGTCAGATTCTGCAGACTTTCAAAAGACTTGCCTTGCTCACTGCAGGAAGATTCAAAGCAGCAATATGGGGGGAAGGGGCGGGATTGGGGAAAGGGCACCCCCCATCCCGACGCTGCAACAAGTGGGCCGTGAGCAGTTTAGCACAGTGGACCAGGCAGAGGGCCACCCGCCTCACTCAGGGCTGGCCACGGGCGGACCCCAAGCTCCCCAAACGTCTGTGGGTCCTCAGCACCGTGGTGAAGGGTGTTGCCAATGGCTGTGGGTGCCTGAGGGTGCAGCCAGGGTGGGCTGAGTCAGCAGCCTGCTAGCTTCCCTCTGGCACCGCTCTGCCAGCCACAACCCTCCCCTTCCTGAACAAGGGGCCGCGAGGGGGAGATGCGCTGTGGGCTGCTCTGGTCTCTTCTCCCGCTCAGCCCAGCCATCCGGGATGAGAAGGGGGGGAGCTTCGAGGAGCAATGGCACAGGAACAGCCTGCAGTGTTCAGAGATTAGGACTCCAAGGAAGTTCTGTCGGGGAAACTCCCCCTCGGACACTGCTCTTGCTTCCAGTAGCTTCGGCCTGCCTCCTCCCACCCCCGGCCACAGGAGTACGTGTGTCCCTCTGCAAGCCACGGCAGCTCTCTTTTATTTTGAAGCGCTTGGCTCCCCCAGGAGCCACGGGCCAGAAGCTCCCCCACGGAAGCCTCGGAGCCTGACACAAAGAGGTAGCCTCTCCCCAGTGGTCTCCTCTCGGACCCTTGAAACCTGGGTCAGCGCTCTTTGTCGCTCCCCCTGCGCGTAGCCTCAGGACTGCCAATCGCCGGCTCCCGGCACACAAAGGCTTCTCTGTTTCTGGCCAGGCTGGAGTCACATGCTTTCACTCTTAACCCCAGAGCTTGAAAACTAAACACCCACCCTCTTTGGCCCCAGATGACCCTGTTTACGTCTGCAGAGCCAATGGCAAACAGCAACAGTAGTGAAAACTTCTGTCGGGAGGGACTTCTCGGCTATTGGTGTGAGAGAGCAAATCTTCACTTTGTATAACGTGAGGACTTTAAGAAGTTTTGGGAAATGACTTACAGGGGGGAAAGAAAAGGAAAAAAAGGAAGCCAGCAGCCTGCCCCAACTCCTCTGTTTTCTAGAGTATCTCTTACCAGAGACCCCGGGGGCTCAGGATAAAGCTCGAAATAAACAGAAAATGGTGAGCAGAGTGTTCACGGCTGAGGGGGAAAAACAATCTGGATTTTCTTACTGAGATCCTCCTTTGTTTAACCCTTAAGGAGGATATTTTTATGAAGGATATTCTCTTCGCTCCATGTCACTGAAGATAGGAAAGAAAGATTTCCTTCCTTGATTTCGGGGAGGAACCCGTGGAACTACGGAGGCTTCTGGAGAGGAGGTCTGGATTGATCCATTTCAAAGTTTTGGGTCAGAAGGACTTGCATTTCTGTTTTTCCCTGAAGATGTCTTTTCTTTCAGTCTATGTGGTAGCCCGTGTTAGTTGTAAAGGAAGTCAAGTTTCCTTTGATTGTTCTTACCCCGATCAAAGTGGTAGAAGTTGAAGGGAAAACACCAGAGCCCAAAAATGCTGGTAACATTGGAGATTCCAGATTAGGTAGCAGAGCTGGAGCCAAGCGAGCCAGTTCCACGGCCTCGTCCTCATCCTCGGGGTCAGTGAAATTCTCTAGGCAGGGAAGGGCAAATGAGTTTCATCTGTAGTGAGAAACCAGCAGCCAGCTGTGTTAAGAAGGATTCTGATGCTCCATCTAGGCTTAGCAGAAAAGAGTGCCATGACTAATGAGCAATGTCTGCTGGACACGGAGGAAATAACAGTACACATTTGCTACCCCTGTCCTTCCTTGTGTCCTCTCAGAAAGTTAGATTATTGTACGTATATGAAGAGAAGTAGCAAAATGGGCAGGAGGGAATGGTGCACAGGATGAGAGATGATGTAGCTTGTGAAACATTGTATTTAGTCCTGCACAGTAGGTGGGCCATGTGACAACAAAATACGAATGACCAATGAAATATAAGCAGAAATGATGTGTGGTGTGTCACCCCCAGGCTGGGGCAGAAAATGCCCTTGTGCCATTCTTTACTCTCTCTTCCCATGTTCAGTGATTGAGGAGGCACCTTGTTCCGGATAGTACAGCTACAGCGTGGTGTCAACTGTCACCTCGGGTCTCGGAGGACTATGTGGAGTAGAGCCCCCAGCCAACCTGGAATGAACAGCCCACATAAGAGAGAAATAAACCTTTTTTGTGTTCACTGGAATTTCGGAGTTACTTTATTATTGCAGTATACCCTGCCCTATCCCCGCTAACATAGTTACCAAGGAGGACAGTTTTTTCTTTTCTTTTTCTCTTTTTGTTTTCTTCCCATATTGGAGATCACTATTTAAAAAAAAAAAAAAAAAAACACCTTGAAAATCAATTCTGGTGTATGTGAGAGTCGCCAGTCCAAAAGACACCAATTTTGCAATAGGGATTCCAATTCTGCAAAATAGTGAAAGTAATTTGAAAGTATAAGCAAAATACAAATATAGTATATTTTAAACATAACTTCTAGTACTAGCACTTACTCTACTAGTATTACCATCACTGCCTGGGGCCAGACAGGATGGCAAGAAGGATCACTTATGGAAAGGAGAAGAAAAGGCTTCAGTTGTTAGCCCCAGGATTTTGATTTTCAGAGCTTGTTCCTACTGGCTCTGGGCCTACTGTTCACTTTGTCTCCTGTCTGGTCTTACCTGTTTAGTCCTATCCCCAGATCCAGAGATCTCCAGGCTGGAGAAATCTAGATAGAAAAGGTAAAAGAGACTGTAGCAGTTTAATCATATGTCGAAGGATTTCTTAGGGAAAAGTGCCAATTACCCCCAATCACAATTAACAAAGTATTTCCATGCCAGGATCTATTCACCAACCTCTGCCGGAATGTTTGTACAGATGGTTCAGTTTACACATTTTTTAAACACAGGGTTTATTGATCAGTTTTCTCCTTTTCTTCTCAACTGCTGTTCTTCCTTCTTCCCACCACAACAGTGAATATTTGCACTACTGTGCAATTGCCCAATCTATTCTCCCTCTGCCGTGGGCCACTGCCCATCCCCATACTTCCAAGGCCTGTGCGGCGTTCACCATGATTATAGCCATTGAAGAGTTTGTTCCTTATTCTTAGGTTCTATAAATCTTTGTGTCTCTGATGATTTTTTTTTTTTTTTAGGAAACCTTCCTGTAAGTGCAATTTCTGGGTTGGAGATGGAAGGAACGATAACTGCTATATTAGAGCCCCCCCCCCCCCCCCCGCCAAATCTCAAAGGTTTAACACAAAAAAAGTTTCTTTCTCACTCACACATCTGTCTAATGTGGATGTTTGGTGTTGAAGGCCTTCAACATGGTGATTCAGGGATCCAGGTTCCTTCCAGTTTGTCACTTGGCCAACTTCAGCACGGACCTTCAGAGCCATTACAGATGGGGGAACAAGAGGGAGGAGAAGGCACGTCTGCTCCTTAGCCACGTCTGCTTGGAAATGATACACACCACCCCATTCATTTTCCATTAGTGAGTCCTAGTCACATGGGACCATGCTTACTGTAAGGGGACCTGGGAAATAGAGTCCTCGGCCGGGTGGGCGCTTCCCACCATCATCCACACGCTATGGAAGGGCTCAGAATTGGTGTTCAGCCAACCATCTCTGGCCACAAAGGGCTTTCCAAGTCTGTGTGTTTTAATTCCGCAAGGAAAGTCCCATGCTCTTTTGGGTCACACGATTGACTAAGGTGGTTACAATTTCACCACTTACTTGATCCCCTCCTTCTCTCATCACCAAGCTCAAAGTGAATCATTTTGATTCTGATGATGTGACTTCCTGCCCTGTGTCCATCTTTCCCCTTCCACTTTTACCCAGTGTCTTGACAGTCTTGCTTAGTGGAAATTTCCATCCTGTCTCCTCTTCCCTTTTGCGGGGCAAGAAGTAATTTTTGCTGACTGCCCTCATTTACAACTCTGCCCTTCTCCTGCTCCAGGGTGCCCTCCCCCTTTCTCCAGAAGCTGAACAGCTATCCCTCTGCCATTTGAGCCTTCTCCACAGGGCTTACGCTTTGGGGTCTCCTTGGAAACCATCCCCCTCCCTATCTTTTGGGATTTTGATTTTCAGAGCCTGTTCCTACTGGCTCTGGGCCTACTGTTCACTTTGTCTCCTGTCCGGTCTTACCTATTTAGTCCTATCCCCAGATCCAGGGAGTGTGCACAGTTGGTCTCTGGCTGGTTTCAGTGCCGATCTTGAAAGGAAGACTTGGAGCTCTGAGCTGATCTTTGGGTCTGGCAGGCTCTCCTGCAGTAGGTGGTTATGTCTGGCCTGGTACTTCTAGTCACCACCCCCCTCCCCAGATCCTGTTGACTCATTTTAATAGGGAGGAAAGAGGGAGAGCAGGGACAGAGGGACCATGTTAACTGTGTCTGTACACTTTCCTGAGCACTACACTAGGTTTTCTGGGGCAGTTAGAATTGACCGAGTACAATGCTGAGCAACGCTAATGCCTTGGGAAAACTGGGAAACTCCTGATTTGGGCCAGGAGTGACTGCCCCACATTGTCAGCTCGAAGAACCCTTCCAAGACCCCTGGGATCCAAGGTTCTTCCCAAGGAATAACCTCAGCCACTAAGCTTCACCCACAGGAAGGCAGCAGGTGGGCAAGTTCCCCTTTGTCACCGGCCACTAGGAAGTGTGCCCAGGGGCAAGTTCTGAACAATCCATCACCTTCTTTCAGAATTGGTGACTTGCAGGTGGTCTAACAAGAGATGCTAATGTTCTTCTAGCCCCTCTCTTTCTGAGCTTCTCCCTCAGAAGAGCCTCTGAGAGTCTAACTCCACACAGGGTATTGGCAAAGAGATGACACAGCTAGGAGTTGGCTGATTTCTGACCTGCCTCATACTTCAGCTGCTCTCCCCACCTGCTTTCAGGATAACCCTCAGGAACTTTTTTGGGGGGGGGGAGGGAAGAGGAAAGACACCAATTTCCTTGAGAGAGGTGGGGCAGGGGAGCAGCCGAGAGAAAGCTGTTCTGTCTGGAAAGGAAGCCAGAAAGGAAGACAGAGTCTCTTTGAACTTCTCTCACCAAGCTGACAGGAAAATTGCAAAAACACCATCAGACTGCATCAGGATGCAAGGGAGCAACCAGGAAGGCATGGCTCCTTTGAAGGCTTCCCGCTCTGCGTGAGGTACAGCGTCTGGAGGGGAACACCAGATGCCGTGAGGCGCAAACCCGGCTGCTGGGACCGACCCCACGCTGGAAACAGGCTCAGTGGTGTTGTTATAGAATCCCCCACCGTCCCCGAAGCCAGAGCAAAGGTGCATGTGAGAAGCAGAGGCTGATGAGCTTCTCCTGGGGAACCAGGGAGGACCAGGCAAGGACCAGGTGAGGAACACAGGGGTCTGCCGAGAGGAAGGGGAGTCAAGCAAGGACAAGGGCCATCCTGGGTTCCTGGGGAGACTGTGCCAGTGAGTCCCAGTAATGATCCAGAGGGACTGGTACCCTAGGCAGGGGGACTGGAGAGGTGGGGAGTATGAGCAGAACTCTCTAAGTCATTTGTGGGACACAGTGCCAAATGAAAATGCAGGACTCTGGTCAAAAAATCATGAAGAATTTTTTAAAAGATTTTATTGATTTATTTGATAGAGAAAGAGCATAAGCAGGGGGAGCGGGAGAGGGAGAAGCAGACTCCCCGCTGAACAGGGAGCCTGACGCGGGGCTGGATCCCAGGACCCTGGGACCATGACCCGAGCCGAAGGCAGATGCTCAACCAACTGAGCCACCCAGGCGCCCCAAAATTATGAAGAATTTAAATATGGCAACAGCAGATATGAAACCAAGTGCAGGGCCCTTGTGAGTGCTGGGCCGTGTGCCGCTGGCTCAGGTGACATGCCCACGAAGCCAGCCCCGGGTGTGAGGTATCTTGTGTGCAAGCCTGCAAGCTCCTATGTAAATGGACGCCAAAAAGATGAGTCCAGGCTGTAGAAGTGAAGGCCGGGGGGGGAGGGGGGGGGCTGGGAATCCACACTCCCTCAGGCGTCTTTTGGTTTTAAAAAATATGGGAAAAATAAAGACTCTCCATTAACAACACGTTTTTAACTTTTTAACAGGCCTTCACATCTCTAAATCCATATAACAAAGGTGACAATTTTATGAGCCAAGTTATGCATAGCACATTTTATGTTCCTAAATGATCTAAGTGATTTTTGTAGGTCCTTAAAGGACACTAAAAAAGTAAGTGTAGTGGAGGAGAAGAGAATTGTGCGTATTTTTATTTCTCCATCAAATGACCGTATTTCTTTTACAGAAAAGTCATCCTTCTCCCCCTGTTCCTCCTTTTGTCCAAAATGTCTGGACATTTCTCATTCCTGGTCCAGACCAGTTTTGTCTGTGACTTGTCACTGTGTCTTCTCTGGTGGTTTGGAGACCCCGACTCCCCAGTGTGGTTAGAGCTGGTGTCACTTGGTGGGTCCCACAGTCTCCCCACCCTCAGGTGGGCAGTTATCCCCTATAGCAAACTCCTTCTGAGCACAGAGCTCATGGAAAAGTGAAAGATCTGGTCCTAGAGCTTGAGGAGGGAGCCAGGGACGGCGGTCCGTTTCGACTTCCGTCTCTGGGTAGGGAGGTGAGAGGCAGGATTGTATCTGCTTCCTCGGGCGGGATGCACCTCTCCACCTGCAGCTCTCCACCTCAGGGAACAGGGACTGTCACTCTGAGCATGTGGCCACGTGTTTTCTCTCCTCAATGGGACTTCTCAGAGGAGAGATGCACCCACCATCCCCTAAAATTTGGAGACCCTGCCCAGTGGAAGGATCTGTCTCCCCTAAGGTCAGGCCAAACCAGTGAAACCTTTGCTCAGCAAGACTGTGAGACCATGGATCTTGTCAGAATAGGATGAGGGGTCAACTTGAGGACACCCGTGCGCTGCCCAGGGGAGACTGTCCGAGGAGAGTCTGGGAGCTAGAAGTAAACTTAAAAAAAGCAAAGCATTTCCTTTCCACCCAGCCAAGCCCTGCTTCTAACAGCAACGCCAACAGCTTCATAGCAGAGAGACTTAGGAGAGCCCTCAGGTTGCCTCCCCGACACTCCTTTCCACTCCCCTCTTCAGGGCTGCAATGCTGAGGTGGACCAGAACCAGGGGCCCTGGAGAGTTTTTGAGGGACAGGAAAAGGAAGGCCCGCTGGGGCCTCAATCTGAAGCCTGCCTCACCTGCCCTTCCTGCTGACAGACGCCAGCCAAGCTTAGCAGCCTCCCTCATTCCTTGCCACTGCCCCTCCCCCACCCCCCCACTGTCCCCACCCCCAGTCTGGGGCCACATAGCAGCCTGGAACAGGAAGAGGCCCTATCAGGGACAGTCCCCCTCTGGGCAGGACCAAAGGTCAGGGCCGAGGGTCTGGGGGCCCAACGGGAGGCCCTTCCCCACTGGCGGTGACGGCAGGCAGCCCGCGGTGGGAGTGCGGCCCGCGGGTGGCAGCGGGCCCCAGGGGCAGGTCTCATGCCCTCGCGGCCAGGGTGACTGAATCTGCCAGCTGTGGGGCCCGCCCGTGCCAAGTCTGCCCTGGCTCCGTCTAGTCGTAATCGATGCTGGCGCCAGGCCAGGCCCCCTGCCAGCTCGGTCACACTCGGCTAAAGCGGGAGGCCCAGCCCATTAACTCCGCGCCAAGGTCCATTGTCTGGGTCCCTGCCCGGTGGTTTATTTACGCGGTTTATTTACTCCGGGGCTGGCCGGGCGGCCCGCGCTGGGAGGAGGTGGCGGCGGGCAGGGCGCGCAGGCGGGGAGTGGGGCTCCAGGCTGCTCGCGGGGAGGGGCCAGCCGCGGCATCCAGAGCCCCAGGGCAGGGCACGTTGGGGGGGGGCTTTCTTTTCTTTTCTTTTTTTTTTGGAAGCCACATCAAAGATTCCCAGTAAAGTCAGAGCGGGACAGATGCAGTAGACACGGGATCCTTCACTCCCAGACAGTGGCCTTCAAAGCCTCTACAAGAGTTTTTTTTTATTTTTTTAAAGATTATTTATTTATTTATTTATTTGGCAGAGAGAGAGATAGCGAGAGTAGTAACACAAGCAGGGGGAGTGGGAGAGGGAGAAGCAGGCTTCTTGCCGAGCAGGGAGCCCGATGCGGGGCTCGATCCCAGGACCCCGGGATCATGACCTGAGTCCAAGGCAGACGCTTAAGGACTGAGCCACCCAGGCGCCCTCTACAAGAGTTTTTAACATTACATACCTTCTTGTATTTTTTTAAGTTGGCATTTAAACTTTTCATCACCAGTTGAAATAGTTCTAAAGGATATGCTTTCTAGCACTTTATACATTGTTTTTTTCCCCACTGTCTATGTGCCTTGTTTTGACTCTATATCCTATATGACAGCCATTATGAAAATTCAGAGAAAAATGAATATTGATATTTTATTTTATTTTTTATTTTTTTTTTTATTTGCGCGCGCGCGAGAGAATGAGAGACAGAGAGCATGAGAGGGAGGAGGGTCAGAGGGAGAAGCAGACTCCCCGCCGGGCTCGATGCGGGACTCGATCCTGGGACTCCAGGATCATGACCTGAGCCGAAGGCAGTCGCTTAACCAACTGAGCCACCCAGGCGCCCGAATATTGATATTTTAAAATAAAGATCTTTAATCTCTCTTTGAAGTGTCCAATGGAATCTAAATATCATAGCCATTTGGTAGCCTCCATTATCCATTTAAAAAAATAGAGAAACGTCCCAATTCTTTAATAGCTGGAAATTTACATTGTTCCTTCCACAAGCTTGTATTTCCATTCCACTCTGTTACGGATTTTCTCCACAGGTAATATATTTTTCATGACTGAAAATCTTTCATTGAGTAATACATCAATAAAAATGTTTAAGTTAAAACTTACTTTGTTCATAAAGCTGTATTAACAGGGACGCCTGGGTGGCTCAGATGGTTAAGTATCTGCCTTCGGCTCAGGTCGTGATCCCGGGGTCCTGGGATCGAGCCCCACATCGGGCTCCTGGCTCAGAGGGGAGTCTGCTTCTCCCTCTCCCTCATGCTCTCTCTCTCTCTCTCTCTCTCTCTCTGTATCTCTGTGTCTCAAATGAATAAAAAATCTTAAAAAAAAAAAAGCTGTATTAACAATTTTTGTTTTGATTTTAGTTGTTATAATGATTAATGCTCTATTGATGAGAGCTATGCAACTAATTGTCAAATTTGACAATATTAAACATAAAAAGTAAATTTTTATCAGAAATGCATCTCTAAATGAGATGGGAAGGGCAGATTCTCTTCTGCGTAAGTGTGCATATATGTAGATGACCACTG